TATTACAAACCCTATAAATGTTGAATGATGTTTGTATACGAACGTACATAATTACCAACAAACTATGAAGATAAGATACAAAGCTGAACCTTTTAAAAACTTCTTACCACATAAAAATTATCAAGGCAAAATAATTGAATTTTTAAAGTATATCCTCAAATCCAAATACATAAATAAATCACTATATATTCACCTGAATGCATATTATATAATTGGCAATTTCTTCAGTCCAGGTTTTCATTTCTTTATTAGATAATGTCCTATTTTTTTAGAAGGTAATCATTTTTTACACACTCATCAATTACCATCTATAATTTTCTATTATCAAAGAAATTTAACGGTTATCAAGTATTGTAAATTATCTTATTCAGCACAATATAAAGTTCAGGATCATTGAGTATTTAATGATTGAAACATCTGCTTTACGTTAAACTTGTCAAAGTACTGAACTAAACTAATAAGAAAATGTTCACTCTAAAGATGAGGGGTATCATGTTTTAATAGTTTCTCCTCAATCTATGCTAGTAAATTATTGTCGAATAATTCTTATATCATTGTTTCACAATATCCACCTGTTCCAAATGTTCTAGAGTATATATCCATGTTTAAGAATTTTACATCATGGTTTATGGATATACATGCCCAATTCTTTTCTATAAAAAAATGACATAAATACAATCAGCTTTTAAAATCATCTTAAACAATATAATGTATGGAACCAAATTTATCTTTTGGATTATTCTAAAAATAATTATATTATTATAATACTTTACGAAAAATGTCTAAAATAAGAAACATATGAAAGTGTATACTGAATTTACCTTTTAATTGAATGGAGCGCTAGTATAATACATTGATAGATCAAAGAATACATCAAAGCATATTCATTCTTTAAAGTCAATTTTGATATTCCTGAACATACTTATTTGTTCCTACATAGGCAACTTTCGTTTGGTGCATTTTAGTTAAACTTATTTTTCCTATAACGATGTTGCTGCAGCAGATGCTAACTAATTACACTGTATAACCAAATTCACGTATGATAGCCTCTCTTAATCATATATCAGTAATAACTAACATATGATGTTAACAGATCCACTTTTGTCTCTATCTTTGATGAGGTAAACATAAGTTAGAACTTTTGATATAAAATCGTCAAAATTAACGATTAAGAATCGAGAAATAACTTTACCTTTTTTGTTTCCAAACGTTTTAAACACATATATTTAACAAACGCTGTTTTAACCCATCAGAAAATTAAATAAGGAATATTAATTCTAATTCGTCACTTATAAAATATAACATGTCAGTTGTTTCATAAAATGTCCCAATAGACCAAGTGAATCACTTTTATGGATATTCCAAAGAGCGTTCTCACTTTAAACATGATAAAGTTGTGTTTTCGAAACAATATTGTAAGTAAAGTAAAATAATGCCCTAGCAAAATGTTCCATGGTTAATACAAATAAGTTTCGTCGAAGGAAGTCAATATACCTATTATTTGTACATGCTAGAATTTAGTAATCGATTTGGCATTATACTAAAAATGTATGTTTTTGTTTTCCCCAGCGTTCACATGCACAATTGATAGTTTATTTAAACCTGTGACATTTTAAATCATATTGATACAGCTTAATTAAACCCTGACTATTTTTGACATTCTTAAACATTTTTTAAATACAGATCCAAATGTGTTTTTGAAAAATTATAGAACATTACCATTTGAATCTGCATATTTGGTAAGATCATTTAAAATAGGTCAAAATGACAATTTTCTCGCATTTTTGCGTTAAATATTGTCTTAAATTTTATCTTTTAAGTATCAGCGATTTTGATACCATCGAAAATAAACTATATTTACGCAAATATAATGTATAATCGTTAAGATCATAGAGGAAAGGATTGAGTGTAAAAACACAAAACATTTTTTTTCGGGAATAGATTATCTTTTAATCAATTGATTTATAGGAAAAGCAAGTACGGTAATGTAGAGAAATGACTGAAAATTAAGTAAGGATATGTTATGCTTCGCGTGTTAATGAACTTATTATGATGTTATTCATTCACTATTCCATTGTTTAAATGAAAAGTTTATGCTTTACCTTCATTGCTGAATATTTTTTACATGATTGTACTGACATTGTCAAGACTCTATTTTGAAATCATTACTAATCAAGTTCTTTGGTAAATGAATAAGAGACCTTAAAGTTAGTCATGGACCAGTAGAGCGCCTCGTTGGACTACTTGAATGTGGATATACAGGCTTGTTTGACTCTGCCTTGTTCTTCTTTATGTCGTATATAAATATATCTATGTAAAAAAGAGAAAAAATATTTAACCTATGTTTAAGTTAGCTTATGAAAATTTTATATTGCATATAAAAATATGTGAAAGAGGCTAAATAGTTTATTGTCATACAACATTTACAAAAATTCTATTTTATGTATAAATAGCGAACACAATTCCTGTTGATCGCTTTCCGCGTAGGTTCAAACCCCTTCAGAGGCAAACTGTTGGAACAAAAGACTTGAGTACTGGTTTGTTCAAGGAAAGGATTTAAGAGTGTGTCTTATATAAGCTTCTAGCGTCCTTTACAATCGAACTGAAATGAATTCTGTATAAACTAAAACTCTTGTTGGCATAATTTACAGTGTCGAAAATTAACAAGATCTGGTCACTTAAACATTTAACAACAGCATGTCAGAAGAAACACACTATTTTATTCCTAATATTTTATGGCCTCTCCTACTTTTTTTCTTGTTCTTAAATGGCACTGTTCGGAAAATAAATATATTTTATTTGATGTAATTCGTATATTCGGTGAAAGACAATAGAATAAAATATCGACCTTATAACTCAAAGATGAAGGGTCATATTAATTTGATACTGCTTTTTAAATTTTATAATACGTTTGGTTGTTTATTTAGTTGCTTCCTTCTACGGAGCATTCTTCTTCGTGATATTTTAAGGAAAAGACAAAAAATTATGTTATATGGCCGTGCAGTTCTGCGCGATAATCATATCACTTATCTTCTGTCGAGAACAAACGCTCGTATCGCTGACAAATTTAATTGCATATGATTGTATAGTTCATGCCTGAAAAGATAAAAATCAGCATAATCTGCATCAATCATTGTTAAGTGGGTCACATCAATGGGTTATTTTCATACTTATAACTATCTTTATTATCATCGTTTAAGGGGCGCGACATCGACACTGTGTTGTTCATATTGCAATTCCCCAGCATTACAGCTGTACTTGTGGAGGAAGAATTCAGGAGCCACTTTGGGAACATGAGTAGAACATCTAACGTTCTGTTAGCCAGCCTGAAAGCTGATATGCAAATCTAAAGTCTTGTTCGTTGTTTGATACCACAGTTGTAAAGGGGTGTGTCATGTAGCGTGCATTTTTGATCTGAGATAATATCTGGAAAAATATCAGTTTATTTGTTATTTGAAAGGTTGCTATATCTATATTTTACTATTGCAATGATCTAAAGCAAACAGCAAACAAGCGCATAGAATAATAAAACTTTTAGACTAGAAAAGTAGAAATATCAGCATCAAGTTTTCGAATAAAGATTTCACATCTTTATCTAATAATTCTTTAAATTTTGAATTATTTGTGATCACACGAGCGCGATCAAGTGCCTTTTCAAATGTTACTGTTTCTATGGTTGGAATAGCATTTTAATGTCAACAAAATGCAGACAAAATTACAACTAATCATAGATCGCTGAACCTTTTTAAGAGGTAATCCTTTCATTTACAAAGCAAAATGTTCATTTTTATGTTTTGTCAATGCCTGTGATTCAAAATTAATGCACGAGATATTAAACGTATTGATACTCATAACGCCTTACAACATGCAAATATGTCATTAAGCATTCGTTATATACTGCCCTAGTATGATATTCAATATGACACAAGCCGTATAATCAACGCAATGCAGTTTAAATGTTACAATTTCTTCCAATGTTGTTGTCTTGATGACATTAATTTCTACAAAGCTTTGGCTTACAACATTATTTCAGTTATTACCTCTACAAAGCACATTGTAGGACAGTAAAGTTACACCAGATTTGATATCATGTATATTCGTTTTAAAGTTACTTTAATACCGGAAAGAGATATATAGTCAATGTTTTATGTGCTATTAAAATATCTGTTTAAATGTCATATCTTCCAATTAGCAATTATAACCATTTATCTTGACACCTATTAGAATCATAAACTGTCCAGCATGTCAGACACTTGATTATGGCGAAGTGTGAAAATTAAAAGACTGAGAAGTATAATGACATGGAAAACAAAAATTAAAAGATTAATAGCTGGTACTACACGAAATATACAAAAGGATAAATTATGCTATTGTATCAACAAATTCAATAAACTTTTTTAAAAGCCTATAATTTTGCCATTTTATGCATTTAATCAGCTTCATATATTTTTCATCATGTCTTCTTTAACATTTGTCTACTTATTCATTTTATTCTGAACTTTTGAAATCCGGAAACTTCCAAATTCCGAACTTTTTGGCTAGTCTCAGAGATGTTCTTTTTTCAGAAGTTACCCTGTATATCATACCACATATAACCTCATTTACAATTTTAAAGTCATAATATCAATATGAAATACATGTCTTACACAATCTTGCCTCATTTCCTTTTCCGGGGTAAAGAATATATCATTCCTGATGGTACACGAATTAACTTCTGTGAAAAATGTGAAATCAAAAGGACAAAATACAAAGTTGAGAACAATACTGCTTTTATGTTTTTTTTCTGCATTGGGCAATGTTATATGTATTTGTGTTTGCATTTCGTATAACATTCACAGAGAGCTTTTACCAATAACAGGTTTTTAGTAACACTGTGGGGTGATCTTGCTAGCGTTATTTTTCAGGCTGTCTACATAACCAACATAAAAAAATAGTTTAAACTTAGATCTTTAGATCTTGCTTCTACTACAATCGGTGGTAGTCATATAAACATGTAAGATCATTATCGGTTTGGCAAAACAAATTGAGTTTAAAACAATAGTTATTGTCGGTTCTTGGATACATTTATTAGGCTATATTAAAAATGATATATTTTAAAATTTATTAATTCTTTAAATGTGAGTTTCTCTTGGATGCATTGAAGATAGATATATGTGCTTTTTGAAAAACTGAATAGAAATTAGCAAAAAAAACATGACTACACCGGAAGTTATGACATCGACGGAAGTTGAAAATGTTACAAAATCAGGATTTGATGAAGATGGGTGGAACTTGTATCCATTAGCAAGGGTATTTATTTATAATTTGTGATCTCAATTAGATATGATGAATCTATTCAGATCTGTTTGATTAGATATAACAAATTCGTTAACCTCCGGCTTATTATTTTCTGAAATGATAAATTTCAAAATTGTGTATAAAATGAAATATTATTTTCTGACCTTGATGATAAAAACTTTAACACAGATTTCGTATAAAAACATGTATTAATAAACAGTATGGAGTAACATTACAATCATATAAGAAGCTTTTGCACCATTATATCACCTCATATATCTTTAATTATTCAAGTATGTATTTTATCTGTCTAAATACAAACATTCATCTTTATTGCTCAAAATTAAAAATCGCAGTACAAATTACAAAATATTGCTGGTTATTTCTGGTTTGTTCAGAAAGGAATTTACATTTTTTTAAAAAAAAAGTGAAAGTATCAAATAATTTAAAGGAAACTCTTCTATCATTTTTCAAAATGGCTTCTCGGTTAACATCTTTTGAACTTTTTGATATTCATCAATTGGATTTTTATTCTAAAAAGATCAACCAGTCAACTCCCTGTGGTGTGGTTGTATATTTGGTTTTTCATATCTGATCAAAGTATCAAAGAATGATAGCATGGTAACCTTGCGTATGATAACGTCAAGGGCTTAGGTATGAAAAAAAAACGCATTTGTGATTAAAGATAATTTTCAAAAAAAGTTCATTCTTTTTTTATCTTATTTGTACTATTTTTTTTATCTTTTCTTTGCCTATATTAAGGGTAATAAATAAAAGAATATCACTTTTAGCAATTGCATTATTTCAGTTCTCACAAAAGAAGATTAATATCATGTTATATGAGTTAAAGTTCTGAAAGTCATCAAATTGTTCCGCATCAATATGAATATAAATCAACCACCTGCTAAGGTCAAATATCTCGCGAGCGATTTTTCAATACGTTCAAAAGCAAAACCCGTTCATTAAAGCTATGAAAGGTGTAAAAATACAAAAGATGAAGACAAACTGGTTAATAGACCAAGAAACACTTTAATAAAAATAAGTGGTTTCTAATTGAATTATTAAATAAGTATATTATTGTGACATACCTTATTTAGAAAAAAGTGTTAGATATTTTATTTGTTATATTGAACGAATCCAGTAAATGTTATTTAACTATCTAATTACATTCTTTTAGATCTTAATAATTTATGCTCACAAATTTATTAATAAATCTCAACAATTATTTAATATACACTTATTTTCAGTTATATAGAAGTTAAATGCATATCAATTTGACTTTACCTTTCGTTCAAGTTTGTTCATTTGGAGCTTTAAAAAAAGAAAATATTCTTAACCATAAATTATTATATTAAGTAAAAAGTTAACTTCTATTAATTGTAACCAATTATTTTATTTTAACACATCACAAATTGATATGTAACTTGTGTTGGTTGTCATGTTTATTCACCTAAGTATCTTAATGCAATTTTGCAGTATTTAAACTGCGTTAAAGGAAATTGCACTTGAATGTTACATTAAGTTTCATACAATTCGGTGTTTTTGAATACTATATATTGCATGTTGACACATTATTGTGTTATGCACTCTTCATATTCCTACAGAATCACTAGGCTATTTTTTTTTATTTGGCTTAATTACCTAACTTCAATAGAATAATGAAAAATAGTATCCCTTAAGAAAGCCCAACACGGCAAAATTGAAAATATTGCAGGCTCGGTGTGATTGAGCCTGTTCATGGACGGTAGTTGTAATTGCAAGTTCATTAATCCACTTAAATCAACTTTACTGTCGGATTTGATTATTTGCTCTGTATGACTGTACTGACTCTCATCACGAACATGCAGAGGAATTTTATAAGTTTAAACTAAATATAAGTTAAGTTGCTGGCTAAATAATAACACTAAAATATTCATTTTTAAATTACACAGAAATGCTCTTGGCACTCACTTTACAGTTATTCATCACGAATATTTTTTTTTTGAAATGTAGCAAATCACGTAAAGGTTTAGGCAAACAAAAAATCAAATTCCAACACTCTGAAATATAGGGAGAAAACAAGGTAGTTCATAAATCTTTTGAAATCTATTACCTTATTGTCTGATTTAGATTTGTTTTGTCTGTGGATACTGACTCTCATCACGAATATGTAGGGGAAGTATATAAGTTTTAACTAAATACGAGAAATGTGGCTTCATGAATGACGACACTAAAATATACATTTGTAGATTACACAGAAATACTCTTGGCATTCACTTTACAGTTAATCATCACGAATACCATTGTGTTTGACTGTTACGAAATGTAGCCAATCGCCTCACCGAAAGGTTTCATGTTGTAGGCAAACAAAATTCAATTTCAATCAATCTGGAATCTAGAAAGAAAACAAGGTATTCTTATCAGAGATCGAGATCAGTCGTGGGACTTATATAGTATATATCACAGTTAAACCAATGCTTATATAAAATTATTTTAGAAAAATCAACTTATAATCATATTCACTGTAGTTATTTCGATAATCGTTTTATTCGTTGCCACAAAAAATAACATGATTTATATATACAGGAGTATTTTCCTTCTTTATCTAATGTAACAGTTGCACAGGAAAACTAATTAAAATGTTCTATTTGAATTCAATGTTTCCTTTTTTAAGTGGTTCAATATTATATTAACCATACAAAAATGATAAATTCTGCTTTACAACTTTTAGGCAATATAAAATACGAGTAAATTTAATACATTTTTTATTTTTATTATAAAATAATCTGTAAAAAGAAATTAATTCCTAACAACATAGTAATTCAAATCTTATCACATCTTATGGTATTTATTAAAATGCACCAAATACATCTAAATTACTCCAGATAAACGATGCTTTCCTTCCTACATAATATACATTTTAAGCTTCAGGCTACAAGATTAGTGAATAAATATCATTATTATCATGTTTAAATAACAGTTAGAAACCTAAATTTATGATATCGGCTGTAAAGTCTGTCTGTGAATATGCAACTGCTTTAATTTTGCAGTAATTGCAATGCAAATGAGAACCTTTTATCGCAAAGAGCTCCACAAAGCCTCAAAATAAAAATAAAAACTTGATAATCTAACGCAGATTATGTTGATCACTTAAACGAGTAAATACCGGTATGTAAAAAGGATAATAAGGAAAAAGTCTGACGTAAATTAATTAAATTGATTACCAATATTTAATGAGTTTCTTTGTTCGATTTGAGTTAAACGGATTTAATGGCGTTCTATGGCGTTTTGTACGAATTTCAACACATTTGGCTTCATTATAAAAGTGGAATGAGCAAATGATCTGAACTGTTGCACATATGCTCTTTGTATAGACCCACAACATATGGTATAGGGGAATCCTAACAATTTAATTAAAGTCCTTTATGTCAAAAAACCCTCAGTGGAGTCTCTTTGTAAGAATATTTGCCAGCGTAAAATGAATAAGTTAGTATAAGTTAATATAAATAATATTCCTAGTAAGATTTCCTTAAATAATACCTGGTCAAAGTTTAAGGTATGGCCATCCTAATGCATTACCTTCGCATTGAAATGTATTCAAATAGACTAGAACTACTATTGAATACATTGAAACTGAGGGCCTGGGGTTCAAAACCCAGAAGAGTCAACTTTCTTTTCTTTTTTTCTTTAAACATTTATGTATCTCTCATATCCCTTTTTGGCAGACGAAAATGTTAAATTTTAAGTATTGAATTACCATATAGGTATTTATTGGCTAAATAATGCTAAATCTAACAAAAATATGGTACCTCATACTTTGAAAGTGCAGTTATATCAAAAACAGACGGTAGAAGTATTTAATATTTTGCAAGATCAAGCAATATACTTTTGACAAAATTTAGGGAAACTTAAAAATAGGCACTCATTTAAATATATTTTTTTTAAATTAGACTCTCCGAGTAGGAATTTGGTCAAACACATGTTAAAAATGGGTGTGGTAGGGTAACATTTTTATAAATATTTCATAAGTTTTTGGGAAAAAACAATCATTTTGCTTATGTGGATTATTGGCTGGATGTTTCTTATAAAAATTAATGGGAAAACATTGTTTAAAATGATAATATTGTATATTATTTAAAACTTCTTATTTTCATCCTTATTTATGAAAAAGGGCCCTTATAGCAACCAAAATTAAATTCAGAAAAGTGGCCATAACTCGACTTCCCAACGGTAAATTTGGTTTAAATTTTACATACAGGTGTCATTTAAGGTGTATGTCTGACCTATGTTGTCATTTTTTTCAGTTCCTTATAGTGCCCGCTTTGATGGTCATTACCTTAAACTCATAATTATTACGATATTCGTGATGAGCTATAGTTTATAGATACACGGTAATGATTAATTGTACAAAAATCACTTAAAATTGTTTGAAAACCACCGTCAGATAATATAACTATCTCATGCCTAAGGATGTAAACTATTCTGTGTCATGTGCAGACAGACAAAATTAATAAGCAATTTTGCACTATGTTGTATGCTTTGCAGTGTCGCAGTCCTTATTAAGTTCACACAATACGTTTTGAAACAAATCATAAGCTTAATTCATGGAGCTGTAAAATACATGCCTAAAATCTAGTATAGAATAGAATATATCTTATAGTATTATTCTGTTTGATTAATGCTTTACGATATTATTTGCTAAGTACTCAATGTGCCATGGCTTATATCATATGCAGGATTTCAATTACGAATTGGTTCATCATTTATGATGTATTTTTCTTTGGTTTTGTCATACCATAACTGTTATGTTAATGTGGTACTCTCCAGCTCTATTTGTGCCTCGGGTGCTGCACTAGTTCAGGCATGAGCTGGCACATAAGTAAAACCATCAACGAACCGCAAGCAGGGTGCATTGCTTTCTCACATAAAATAATTCAAATTCCTAGGCGGGATTCGAATCCACAACTGTGTTGGGCTGGTCGTTAATTTCTTTTACTTTCACAACTCGGCTTTGGCCGCATTTATATTATTGT